GTTGTCGATGACGAGGCGAGTGCGCTTGGCCCATGCAAGAAGCGCTACCTGCATGGTCCGTCAACCTCGAGCATGCGCAAATGCACGATCATCTACCTGCCATCGCGCTCCAGCTCCGGAACTAGCGGCATGACCGCCGTCTGCCGTGACATCCCGAGCCTCCATAGCGTCGTCCGCGCGTGCTTGTCGAAATGACCTGCTTGGGACTGGATAATCTGTGGCGTATCCGGCTTTTCGGCATTCGCCACGTCAGTGCTGCAGAATTTACGAAGCGGTGCCGAAGCTAAGATTTCCATGACCAGGAGCTGGTCGACGATGGAGCTGTCCGACCGCGTCGACGAGCGGCCCGTGTCCAATGCGACGTGTGGCTGCGCCTCATCTGGAGCCAGCGCACCGAAGCGCCGTACGGCCGCCAGCAGGATTGCCTGTCTATCGCGTGGCGCGACCAGTCTTTCTTGTCTGGCGCCAGCTTGACGACCACGACTGCTGACGCGCGCTGTCCTCCACGTCGACCGTTATCTCCCGCGGTCAATCCAACGACCAGCTGCTCGTTGGCAATGACCTGCTCTGTCTTGCGCCTCGTTTCGACGCCTGTTGCGCGCCATGGTCAGCGGCCTGCGACTTACTGGCCGCAATCGCCGACGCCCAGCCAGCCGACGCCGCGCTTCTTACCTCTGTGGATCCCTCTGTGCCTCAAAAGCAACGAGGCTCGCTTGGAGGCCCGATGCACGACCATCTTTGGACCCTATTACGACTGGACGGCGCAAACACACGTGACTTCCTCTTTCCATGAAGCTCCAACTGTGTGTCAACGAGACGAGCGCGACGACAAGCTCAAGAAGCAGGTGCATGCCACCCACGCAGCTTTTAGCTATGGACCTGTATCTCGTACACTCAACACGATCAATATGAAGGTGATGGTAGACGCACATCACATGCAATGTTATCTGGGTTGTTATGCGCGCCGAGGGGTGTCGAAACCATCTTTTCGAAAACGAGCGGATCGCGTTGTAGAGCTACAGTAGTATAGATCGCAACTTGTGAAAGTAACCAGCCTTCCGCCCGTTGCCCCTTGAGTAAGCAAGTCAAAGTAGTTTTGAGAAAATGTTGTTGATTGATTAGTTGGTCGATAACTAGTTATATCTAGGTACCGATAAAGTTGGCGAGGCCGTTCCGATGGCCTTGTACACGCTTGGTACGTTGGCCTGGCTGACCATGAGCGCAAGGGCGGGCGGGAGCTTGGTCGAGAGCCAAAGCTGGCGGAGACCCGTAGGCGGCTTCGACACGAGAGCGGCAAACTTGAGCAGCATCAAGACGAGGTCGATGCGCATCGCCGGCGCGAACGTCGACTGGCGCTTGACAAAGCCCGCGATCTGGAAGCAGCGGTTGAGCTGCAGCGTCGCAAACTCAAAAAGAACGGCTGCTTCTTGATCGCCTTGGCGTCGCCCGGGCACTTGAGCGGGACGCGGAGCGCGTCGGTCCGTGGCGTGGCGCGCGCAAGCAGACGCGCCAGCGCAAGCACGGTGCGTGCAGAAAGTCGTCACATAATCGGGGCTGGCATCGGAGGCCCGTGGCGTCGGAGGCCCATTCGTCGGCGTTGAGGCCGACGACCTTGTGGTGAAGCTGTGGACAGTATGTGAGGGCGGCGGGGTATTTTCAATTCTGTTGATCCTCACACAACCTACTGCCAACGTCCAACGTCTTTTTCCCCTACTGCCTACAGTTGCACTAGAACGCGCTGCCACGTCATTCTAAGCTTATCGTTAATGCGCACACCGCATCACGACATTGCCCGAGGCATCGCAAAATAGTAGAGAAAGACCGGCTGAGAGGACGATTGGGGCACCTTGAGCTAGCTTCATATTCGTGGAACAGCGTGATCGGGAGTCGCACTGGCGGCTCGGGGACGTGCCAAGCTTGTATCTAGGTGTTTGACCAGACCAAAAGAGGCGAATCGACTATTTTCACGCAATAAGTTGAAGCTGACAAGATCCTTCTAGAGGCCTTGTGCATAGCGCAACGATTGCGAAATGTTTGCGTTTGTTTTGCCAGCTTCATTTCAACGCGAACCTGTTTGTACTGTGCACCAGCAATGTCGCGTCCATTCTCGGTGTCGCTGGCGTGCAGGACGCTGGCGATGCCACAGTGTCCCAACGACTAGTCTGTCATTCACTGCAAGAATGCGCGTTTGTCCAGCTTCAAGTTGCTGGGCATACTATTCTCGAGAGTATTCTCAGGCTTAGTCTAAAATCACGTTTTTTGCGGATGCGAGCTGTCGTATCCGGTCATAAGACGCAACCCACAACATCGCCGCCTGCGTACGAGGCTCAAGCATAATGGCTAGCGAGTGCAAGTTGACCGAGAGCTTCTTGATCGAGGCGCTGTCGCTCTGCCTCTTTTTTGCGGGTCCACAAGGACGTAGCGGCCTCTGCTTCTCCCTTTTGGAAAAGCAAGAGATGCGTCCATGTGATGATGTATCATTGGTGGCATTTGCCACCTGAAGGTCTGCCGAATTGAAATGGTGGCGGTGCCGAAGATAAAATGATGTGCGTATCAAGCTCTCCGTTTAGAGCGAGGATAAACAGAGTTTTGCGGACGTCGCCGACAACTTGCGGCCAGTGAAGAAGAGGTGTACCGTCATGGCAACAGGAATGCGCGCCATCGTGATCTTGTACAGGCCGACCGCATCGACACTTAGGCCGCCAACGCTTCCAACGTTTCTGTCATCGAGCTTGATAGCACGACCAACCGACCAGCTGCGTCTCTTGCATTTGTCCTGGTTTCAAACGATCGCTGTCGGAGACACGGCGCCCACGAGCACTCGTGCTTGCAAAGCGGGCTTCGTCCGCCAAGTCGAAAAAGGTGTAGAACGAAACAAAGTATCTGTCTTGATGCGCTGCACGCGTCGGGATGGTACAAGCAAGACCTCTAGAAGGATCTTGTCAGCTTCAACATATTGCGTGGAAATAGTCGATTCGCCTCTTTTGGTCTGGCCGATCACTGAAATACAAGCTTGGCACGTCCCCGCGCCGCCCGTGCGACTCCCGATCACACTGTTCCACGAATATGAAGCTAGCTCAAGGTGCCCCAATCGTCCTCTTAGCCGGTCTTTCTCTATTATAGATTGCGATGTCTCGGGCAATGTCGTGATGCGGTGTGCGCATTAGAATGACGTGGCAGCGCGTTCTAGTGCAACTGTAGGCAGTAGGGGAAAAAGACGTTGGACGTTGGCAGTAGGTTGTGTGAGGATCAACAGAATTGAAAATACCCCGCCGCCCTCACATACTGTCCACAGCTTCACCACAAGGTCGTCGGCCTCAACGCCGACGAATGGGCCTCCGACGCCACGGGCCTCCGACGCCGGCCCCGTTTTGACGAGACTTTCTGCACGCACCGTACCATGGACCGACGAGCTCCGCGTCCCGCTTTTGGTCCGACGCTTCCGCTCTGCAGCGGTCGGCTTCTGCGGCTCACCGCTGCGCCGATCAAGACGCGCTTATGCCGCAACTTGTGCGGCTGGTCCTGCAACTCGTCGGTCTCGAAGACGCCAAGTGGGCCGACGATCACGTCGCCTTCAAGGTCGGCCTTTACCGAACGCCTGCAGCGCTCGACTCCGTGGCCTCGCACATCTCGCACGAGGCCTTTTACTCGCCGGTCAACATTGCGGCCCCTGCAACCATGCAGTACAACGCGGCGGCCACTTGCCCCGCGACGTTTGTTGACCTCGCCATCGAGTGGCTCACCACGTCGGCATACTGCGCCACGAAGCACGGCCTCGCCTCCATGGTGCAGCTCTTCATGGTCAAAAATCGTGCCACGACGCAGGGCCTCTCTCGCTTTATCCGTAGCTAGATTACAGCATAGCTACGCGACTAACCATCAATCAACAACATTTTCTCAATAACTTGTTTGCTCAGGAGGCAAAGGCGCCAGGTCATTATTACCACTTGGACCCCGGGTGGGTCGGGTTACTGTTGGAGACATCTCGATCTAGATTGCTGCCTCTACGACAAGATCCGCTTGCTTGCGAAAATATGGTTTCGACACCCCACGGCGCGCATAACAACCCAGATAACATTGCATGTGGTGTGCGTCTACCATCACCTTCACATTGATCGTGTTGAATGTACGAGATACAGGTCCATAGCTAAAAGCTGCGTGGGTGGCATGCACCTGCTTCTTGAGCTTGTCGTCGCGCTCGTCTCGTTGACACACAGTTGGGGCTTCATGGAAAGAGGAAGCCACGTGTGCTTGCGCCGTCAGCGGCCTGCGACTTACTGGCCGCAATCGCCGACGCCCAGCCAGTAAGTCGCAGGCCGCTGACCACGACACGGCCATGGCGCGCACAGGCGTCGAAACGAGGCGCAAGACAGAGCAGGTCATTGCCAACGAGCAGCTGGTCGTTGGATTGACCGCGGGAGATAACGGTCGACGTGGAGGACAGCGCGCTTCAGCAGTCGTGGTCGTCAAGCTGGCGCCAGACAAGAAAGACTGGTCGCGCCACGCGATAGATAGGCAATCCTGCTGGCGGCCGGTCGGCGCTCCGGTGCGCTGGCTCCAAATCATACGCAGCCACACGTCGCATTGGACACGGGCCGCTCGTCGACGCGGTCGGACAGCTCCATCGTCGACCAGCTCAAGGAAATCTCAGCTTTGGCACTGCTTCGTAAATTCGGCAGCACTGACGTGGCGAATGCCGAGAAGCTGGATACGCCACAGATTATCCGGTCCCAAGCAGGTCATTTCGACAAGCACGCGCGGACGACGCTATGGAGGCTCGGGATGTCACGGCAGACGGCGGTCATGCCGCTAGTTCCGGAGCTGGAGCGCGATGGCAGGTAGATGATCGCGCGTTCGAGCATGCTCGAGGTTGGCGGACCATGCAGGAAGCGCTTCTTGCATGGGCCAAGCGCACTCGCCTCGTCATCGACAACCTCGTCCACGCCAACTCGACGATCCAAACCCACAGTATCAAGT